AAAAAAAGTATGTTTCTGCCTGTTATTATAATTTTATTAGATGCTATAGTTGAATATTTCCAACGGAAATATAGCCTCTTCATTCTATGGTTAACAGGATGCACAGTAACATTACCTACATGTATTATAGGGGACATAAGTGTCCGTAGGTACTGTCTGAAATGTTCAATTCAACACGACAGCAAAACATTTTACATAATCAGTGATGACAACCTTATACCAAAGTTCATATGGTGTTTATAAATATCCTAATGATTAAAGGTAAGTTTTTATAACATTTTAAGAGTGAAGAATTGGCTGACATTTCCAGTTTCATCCGTGTGCCATTTATGTAAGTCACAAGCAACTGTGGCCATGAATTTTAAAGAGCTCAGGTCAAATTAATGTCTATTTCCTCTCAATGAGATCTCGAAAGAGAAGACTACATACTCGAAATTAGGATTAATTAGAAATTAAATAGGGGCTTTTCATCAGAGAATCACACATCAGTGATAGGACAAGGGGTAATGGTTTTAAACTGAGAGAGGGGAGATTTAGGTTAAATATTAGGAAGAAATTCTTCACTATAAGAGTGGTGAGGGACTGGAATGGGTTGCCCAGGGAGGTTGTTGATGCCCCATCCCTGGAGGTTTGTAAGGCCAGGTTGGACAAGGTTTTGTGCAACCTGGTCTAGTGGTAGGGTTCCCTGGTCATGGCAGGGGAGTTGGAAATTGATGATCTTTAAGGTCCCTTCCAACCTTCATGATTCTATGATTCTATTCTATGATTCTAAATAAACAAAAACCTTTAAAAACATGGATCCGATATAATTTTTCTTCCCCTTTTTTAAAAAATATGCAGCCATTTTGAAAGCTAAAATGCCTTTTTATTGTTGTTTTTTTTTTTGTGATGATAAGCACAAAAAAAGGAAGTTATTTTAATCTTGAAAGATAAATAGGTGATATTGAAATACGATTAAAGAAATCTCAGCAGCTAATGCTTTTATTATTATTTTAGTTTTACATAGTTTAGAAAGAATTTATTGAAATTCTCTGCTAAAGTCTGTTACTGCAATTCTGGAAATGCACTGCACAAAATGTAAGTGTATATATTTATACAGATATATATAAGTATCTCACACAGCATGTTATTTGTCTGAACTTTATACGCTTTTTAGGATACTCAAAAATGTTTTCACTACTCATCTTTCGCCTGATGCCAAACTCACTTAAAGAGCTGTCTAGAATTGTTTGTATTAAATAAAAACACACCATAAAGAAAGAATGGATAAGAAATTTAGAATATGTAAGCTTTAAACCACCTCCAGTTCCATTTCTCAGACTCAAATACAGTCCTAATGGATCACTTCAACTATGGCTTCTACTAATTAATAAGATTAATAATACACCCAGCAGAGCATATATCTCTTGTACTATTGAAAGAATAACAAAGACAGTATCAGTAAATCTGTACTAAAAATTGAGGTGAAAAGTGTGTTTGAAGGTTTTTTGGTTTTAAGAATGCAATTCAAATAAGAAGCTTAATATTAAAATAAAATAATTTTGTTCACATGCTACTTACAGCCTTCATAAATATCTGTTGGTATGTGGACTGCTGCATGTTGGTAAGATGTTTGCCGTCGGAAAACAGGATCTTCTTCAAATACTGGTTTGATCCTCTGGCTGCCAGATTCAGTGTCATTCTTTTCAGGCTTTTTAAAGACAGACATGTAAAGGGTAAAATATTACTAAGTATGCTAAAAAACATTTCCATTCATATTTGCCTCTTTTTATTTAACAGACTCAGAGCTAACATTTTGCATTTTTGTATAAACACACTTATTTACTCCAGATTCAGAAATATTTGTGTATACATTATTTTGTATTATGACTTGCCTAATGCAACTCAGTGAAATGAAGACCTGCAGAAGAAAAGTGAGAGCCTAACACCTTATACACCTAAATTTTGTAAGTGTATGAAAATTTTACACCCATAATGGAATACTTTACCTTTTATTACATGTAATAATTTGTACTGAATCTAAATCTAAAGACCATATACCTCCTTTTTTCCTTCTGCAGATTACATAGCAAACTTTAAATCACAAATCTTAAAATGATACCACTAATATACATTGCATAAATAGATTTTTGAGAAACAGTGGTGCATATTCGGACACAGAAAGAACATTAAACCTTCTTAGAATTCCCGATTAACACAGGTTTTGCTCATCAATTTATTTTAATAACAAGCTTTTATGAAATCTCATGTATTCTCCTGGCTACAGCTGCCTGGGTGGAAGGGTTCCCAAATACACAGGGGTTCACCACTATCTGCCTGCCTGCCCTGGGTTACAATCCTTTTTCACCTGTCGGCACCCTGGTTTCTTGATTCCTTCCAGTTTAAGGATATTTTCAATATATTGTTTGAAAATGTGTCAGGCTTGAAAAATAGAGCTGCCAAAGGAGCACCTGTCTGGTCAGTCAGGCATGTGTGTGCTGAGGCTATTGTTTATACACTGCCACTCTGCCTTTTATCTGCTAGAGTATAGACAATGTACAGACAGTTAAATTTTAACTTACCTACAAAATAATCTAATTAAACTGCATATATTTACTCATCTGCTTCATCACAGGGTTATGGACAAGTGTTATACAAAGTATAGGTTCAAATATTACCTGAACTAAGCAGAAGTCTCAGACAGGTTTCAAGTAGGTGGTTTCCTTTGCAAACACAAAGGGCAGAACTCAGCTAACCAGGGGCTTCCACTGATTTCAACACAACAGTGTTGAGCTCATCACCCCAGGCTGCCTTCACAGTCAATGAAGAGAAACGAGCATTTTTAGAATGCAATTCATCTAATCTTAATTAGACATCTATTTTCCTGTGACATGAATCATGCCTTAGAAGTGCCTCCTTCTTTCCATTGACTATAAAGGTGCCCCAGGGCAAGTCACCTAGATACAGAAGTCAGCAACAGGGATGTGTAGAATTAGGTGAGATGAATCTCACAATACAAGTCTATTGAACTTTTTGCAGAAAAGAAGGTGAGTGCTAATTTTGATTACTGTTATGCAGCACAACAATTATATCTTATGCTTATATCCTATAGTATATCTTAAGAAGTTAAACAAGTTACTTAGTACTTGGCCACATTCTGGTGGATAAGCTAGAAGGGAAATAATAACTTAAAACTCAAAGACAAGGATGATATTTTTTTTTCTTTAAGCAAATCTATTACCAGATGAAGTCAAGGTATATAATGGAATTGAATAATCTAAGTTGACAGAATGTGTAAATTACCTAAAAACATTATTCTCATTGGAACAGTTAGGATCACATGTTGCCTTTTATTTACATGTGAGATATTATTTTCAATATTAGATCTAGTGAACAATATTACCTCTGTTATGGAGGTTGCCAGACGACATCTGAATATCATCCTTTTGTATTTAGATGCTTCTAAGCTAGTAATGTTTCAGCATTGGAATGTGGATTAGAAAAGCAGGAAATACTTGTACAACACAGCCTGTTTTGATCCAGTATGCCACTTGCTTAAATCTACCAGAAAGTAACACTATGCATTGGGTCTGGCTGGGATGTAGTTAACCTTCCCCACAGCAGCCCTCACAGTGCTGTGCTTTGTGTCTGTAGCTAGAAAGGTGTTGATAACACACCAGAGTTTTGGCTACTGCTGAGAAGTGCTCCCACAGCATCAGGGCTGTGTATCCAAACCCCTCCTCCAAAGGCCAGGAGGCTTGGGGTGGGCAAGAGATTGGGAAGTGACATAGTCAGGACAGCTGACCAAAACTGACCCCATATGATGTTGTGCTTAACAATAAAAGCTAAGAGAAGAGAGAAGGGAAAGGAGGCTTTTGTTATTAAGGTATTTGTCTTCTGGAGCAACCGCCCCAGGTAGTGAGGCCTCACTTCCCAGGAAGTGGCTGTACATTGTCTGCTTTTTATTTTCCTTTGCTTCTGTGCATTTATTACAGCACCTTTATCTCACCTCACAAGTTTTTTGTCATCTTATTTTCTGCCCCCCTGTCCTACTGGGGAGGGGGAGTGATAGAGCAGCTTGGTGGGCACTTGGCAGCCAGTCAGTGTCAACTCACCACAAACCATTTATAATTTTCTTTGAAGTATGCAAACTGGAGCCAGGATCAGTAACAGCTTATGTGTTATATGATTTCAAATGACACAGCAACATGATAGCTTCAGGCAGTGTAACTTGGCTCAATTTTTACCTAGGTTTTTGGTGGCTTTTTCTTTCATGTTATCACACAGGATTTTTCCTCCTTCCCAGAACTGGAATGCTATATATGAAGTAAATTCTGGAGTTCTTTTCACAAGTTATCTTTTGGCTTCATGCTGCTCAAAGTAATGAGTTTGTCTAACGCTGCAAATGTAATCTCAACAATCAATCACCCATATGAGAAAATTTCCCTCCTGCCTGAAAGCCATTTGATTTTAAAAAAGCATAACACTCTTACTTCTGAAATTAGTACCAATGACTACAAACTCTTGATGCTTTCACAGAAAAGAACTGGGGACCATCAAGCCACATTATTGCAATGAAAAATTTGAATGAGTGGGTGTCAAATGATGTTTTCCAACTAATTTTTCACAATAAATATTTGGGAGGCAGAGTGAATGATAAAAGAGAAAGAGGGCAAACCCTAAGTCCATCCTAGCAAGTCGTGCACAGAAGTTTTCATACTACAGTGTATTTAGATTTTTTCAATGAAATTCTTGAAGAATGTGAAAATGGTATTATTATGTTTCTTCTGCTTTGTATTTAAATTTAATTTCAAGCAACGGACAGTAGCTTTCAGCCTCTGCCATAGCTCATGTGCTATGGAAGAAGGTTCAAGTATAATATACAAATTTGATTAAACTTTGCTGAAACTGAAAGTGATGAAATAATCTTCCTGAATGCCTTAAATATTAAAATATAAAGTCTATTTCCCACATTCCTAATGGCATACACACATGGAACCACCCACCCCACAAGCTGACTGTGATAAAGAATAGATCTCTTCTTATTCCCACCAATATTCCATAATACCAACACCAAAAACTGAATAAAAAAGCTGTTTTTCTTAATTTGATTCATTCACCTGCTTCAGCTGAACTGTATTTTATATCTACTTCTGTGGTCATGATGGAGGGCACTGGATCTATCAGAACTACATAAAATAACCTAGGAACTTTTGCATCTCAACTGTTGACTTTTCCTAGGAAAATTTTGGGATGTACAGCTCTGACATTGAAACAATCATCTATCTGCTCTCCAAAACCCAGAGAAACCAAAGGACAAAATCCGTAAGTTCTGTAGTTTCCTTCACATGGGATTAATTTTGCTATTAAATCTAAAGGTGTCTGATTTCGTCCTGCAGGCAACAGGCAAGTAGCAGCAGCATTACAGGAAAATGAGTGTTGCACTCACTTGAGTCACTGCCTCCTGATCAGTGTGACTAATGCTGTGCCAAGCCTTACACATCCAATGTGGATCCTTCTATATAAAGTAAAAAACAATTTAGCTTACATTTCCCAAATTTATGAATTTCAACTAACCTACATCTAAATTAGGGGGAAAAAAAAAAAATTAAAAAAATGAAAAGCTCAGTCTTACCAATTATTTCAGCCTGGTACTTCTATCAAAAGCCTGACAGATTGGGGCACTGGTTCGTACAGTTTTAATACCTAGCTAAACTTTGTTTTCAGGAAAGAAGCAAAACACATATTTTGAAGGAAAGTAAGTCAGCATGTGAATATAATTAATATCTAACTCCAACCAATTTCTCTCTTAAGACAGGAGCTGAAATACAATCAATACTGGCACAAGAAAATCCCACAGGAGATAGAAGCTGAAGATTAATTTTCTGTCTATTCAAACCTGGCCTTCACTTATTGAATTACACTGTTACCTACCCCTGACAGTCAGCAAAACAACTCACTCATTTCTCTGCAATGAATCTCCAGACCAATTTCTCTCTCCCTTGTGAGGCAGATAAAATAGATAAAATCCATTTTAAGGTGATTTTTTTAATAACACATTTTTCATATGTCTATTGTTCACTATTAGAATAAAGGGAAATGTATATAGCTGCTAAAAATCAGGTAAAGTGGGTTCTTCTGTAACTGTTATTTGTGATCTCAGCTAAATCACTTTTGGCACAATCTAAAAAAAAAAAATAATGGAGGTTAGTTTCTGGGTTTATTTGTAAGCCAAATACTTAGAAATAATTGGAGCTCTCTCTCAAGGGCTTTGTGAACATAAATTAATGTATGTACATGAGGTAACTGGAAGCTTGATGCCAAGAGTATCGCTGACAGATGTGTCTAGAAAAGCAAACCACCACCAGAACAGAATGAAAGGTCATTTCAAGGAACCCTGACATAGTTTAGCTTCTCATTTCACTGCAGCTAAACACATCCCAACTCCTTTCCACAGCATTCTGTTACTTTTCATCATCATAGATGTAGGAAGATGAGTGGATTTTTTTTTTTACTGAAACAAGAAGTATTTTTTCCACAAATATTAAACTTTTTTTTTTTTTCTTCTTGCAGCTGTTGAAAACTAAATATAAGAAATTGATATGAATCAAAAATTACCATCAATTAAATACACAGAAAACCACAACCAAATTGAAGTAATCTTCAATTGTTTTCCAAAGGCAGACTTTTCAGGAATAAGGCACGCATCAG